GCTCCCGCAGGACAAGAACCTGGAGGTGGGGAGGGAAACAGGAACAATCTGGAGGATGAGCACCCAGAGACAAACCCCGTAACTTGGAGAGCGTAGTATCATTTATTTAGACTGTCAATATCTGTGAGTTTGACTGTTTCCAGCTCCACACTTTTACAGCTCCTACACATCGGTGTCTCAGCCTTCTTTAGTCACTGGGCTAAGGTAAAAGCAACGAGGCAGCACTATCTGCCATGAGAGCACCACAGATCCTCAGACATTCCCAGAGCTTTTCTGCAGCATTCTGTGTGCACATCTCCCACCACTGTTCTCTAATCCCAACCATCCCATTCCAAAACAGGCGAGGACAACAAAAAGATCACTTACAGCTGCATGTCTTCGCCCCTCGTTCCTGTCAGCTCCCAGCCATTCCAGAGCCCTTTTCACCTCAAACTCCACGTACTCAGCTGTGAAGGTGTCTCCAGCCATCGCCAGCCGCCCGATGGCCTTGGAGGCCATTTCCATTACCACGGGGTCGTTGGATGGCAATAGGTTCCTCAGGTAGTTGGCAAACCTGCCAATTCGGGTGGCATTACCTCCCTCCACACCAATGAGGCTCGCTGCAGAGAGAGGGAGCAATGCTGTAGGTTCTCCTTAACACTGAGTGAGGCAGACAGCAGGTAATCCCTGGATGAGAGTTAGTGTTCCCTATCCATTCCCTAAAGATTCCCATTAACACCTCAGAGGGAAAAAAAAATATTCAAGCAATAGGAAAGGGCCACCATTCTTTTGAGCTGGAACTTGTTGAGTGAGCTTCATAGATTTTCCACATTTTTAGTTTTAAAAGAGAAAAAAAATATCCACCCTGAGATCACAGACCCATTCTCAACAGAAAGGCATCCATCCACATGCAACTATTATGACTGGTCTGCCTCAGGAGAGAAGTCAAAGACTGAATGGACCAAGGAAATGCTCTCCCTTTAGCCCTAGAGATGGTCTGTCCTGGCCAGGATGGAAGCACTTCATCAGGCAGCAGTGAGGCAGAAGCTTTCACTGCCAGTGCCTGGGTTGTACCTGCTCTGTAGACAAAGAAGCCATCAGTGTCCAGAAGTGTCAAGCCAGCACCTTTCAACAGCACTAAATTCACAGAAACAATTTTGAAGTGATACCATCACCTCAAGACCAGGTAAAGTCAACAGGTATCTCTTTAGTTAAGGGACTTTCACTGCCTTCAAACATGTTGGGATTGGATGATTAGCTCTGTGAGCCTAAACCATAAACACCTCCTGTGGTTATTAAAGAAGTAACTGCTACAACACAGGCCACTTGCTTGGAAGGCAAAGTATTTATGCAAGCTGACTTCCCCAAGAGATGCAGCTCTGCCACCTCACAGCAAACACACAACCAGAGCCACTGATGGAGCAGCTGATCAGAACCAGAGCAGCTTGGTGAGCCCTTCCCAGGGATGGAAGCTGCTGTTACGGAGACAGGTAAATTTAAATAACAAGAATCAGCCTCCCCAAACAGAATAGAGTTGAGAAAGGCAGCACACCCTGATACATATAAATGGGCAGAACAAAGCGTTTGCAGCTGAGCTCCAGAACAGAATTTTCACATGCTCAGCACTCACATTTGATGCTCCACTCCCAGAGAAGCTCAGGGCCTATTAAGCATCAGGTTTTCAGCCACTCTCAGCACTCACCAGCTCCCATGCTGACACTTCTGACAGATTCTGAGAGCCCAGCAATGAGCCTACTGAGCAGTCAGACATCAGGCCCTGAGTATAAAAGCTCACTCCTTTTGAAAATCTGTCTCTGAAGACAGATGCATGAAGAGAAATCTCACCAGAGGCATTAAGCCCTTTCACTCACCTATAGCCAGAATGCCACCCTTCCTTTCATTTGCATCAGAGCTAGAGACCAGTTCAAATATGTGATGGTTCAGCTGATCGTAGAACCTGGTAGATTCTTCCTGACTCATCTGTAAAAGCAAAAAGTTCAAATCAGCTTTCAGTATCCTCTCTCTCCTTCCTGCCCCCAAAACCTCCATAAAGACAATACTTCTTAAATCACTTAAACAAAAAGAAATTAAATCAACCACCCATTACAAACTAAAAACAGCATCTCTTTTTTGTGCCCTGGACACAGTAAGTTTACTTATTCTGGATATTCTGTGGTGTTTGACCACCCTTTTGTGCCACCAACTCACCACTTCTACACGCTAGGGCAAAGATAAGCTCCCTGCTATGCCCCGTCTCCTCCCTGAGACCAGGCTCCATGTTCCAAAAATCTCCCTTGCCAGAGCACCCAGCCCTCAGAGGACACACAGGGAGGAATGATGCCATGTGCAGCACTCACCTCCCGCAGCTCCATGGTGACATAGTGCTGCAGGTCCTTGGCAGCCTTGGCCCTCGTCTCCTCGCTGCGACTCTTCAAACCATTGGCGAATTGCTGGAGGATGGACACGGTGCCCGACATGGTGGTGGCAGGTGGGGCCCGGGGGCATCCAGTCCTGCAAGTTCTTCAGAGAGAGACACGGGGTTTTTTTACTGCTTGAATCGAAAAACCTGAGCTTCTTCCTTGAGGCTGCTCCTGCTGCCTGTTTTCAAAGCACACATCCTATGGCATGCAGGGATGCTGTGCCAGCAAAGCATAAAATTACAGGAAATGAGTATATTCCTCAGGCCTGTGATAAAACTGTATCACCACGTATCCTGACCCCCAGCCTATTTGCTCTCCAGTTCCTCAAACACCAAAATACACTGCAGCAGGTCAGGTGCCCCATGGTGATCTAATTCTAAATCAATGGTCATGCAACAGCTGAAAGAGAGCAGAGTCAGACTGGGGTTTGCAATTAGCCCACAAGTAGGCACAATCATTCCCAGGATTAGACCACTATCCTATCTGACTGCTCCTTGAACACTTCCATCCAAGTTTGTCCACGGAAATCCCAGTGTTATGCCAACACAAGGAAGACTGAGCACTCAGGGCCTGGCAAGCATTACATCCTCCAGCAGATATTTACAGATGGCAAGTCCACTTATAGCAACACCAACCACTGCAGTCGGGGCTCTCCTACCACAACACACAACCAAACTTTCTCAGGGGCCTTTCTTTACACCAAGAGCATTTCAGAGGCTTGACACCACCCCCCGCCCCGCTATTTTCATATTACATAAGCCCAAACCCAGCGCTGACACCAAAACTTCCACTGCTTCTCCCTAAACATTCCCCAGAGGTCCACAGGGATCGCAGTGTGGGGTGGAAGCCGGGAGAGGATCCCCCGGGCGAGGGAGAAGCTGGTGGGTGCTGCCCGTCGCCGCTGCCCGGTGTCTCTGCCCGGGGCTCCCTCACGGCCGCGCTGGCAGCAGGACCCGCCAGGCCCGCGCCCGGGGGGCTCCGCAGGCCGGCGCTGAGGGAAGGCTGAGCCTGGGCCCCGCCGCGGCGCCGGGGGCTCGGGTGGGGCGCTGCGGGTAGGTAGCGGGAGGCGAGGGGAAGGGGAGGCGATGCCGAGGGGAGGGAGGCACCGCCGCGCACTCCCAGTCACTCTCTCACTCACCCGCCGCCGCCCCGGCCCCGCCGGCTCCCCCGCTCCGGGCCCCGCGCCCGCCCCGCCGCCGCGCCCG